TGTCTTTGTGTCAAGTAAAGAAATACTTTTCCAAATTAGAAATACATTACCATGCATATATTACCTATGAGATTTGTTGCCCCCTTTGAATGAATTTAATTTGTGTTTTCTAAAAGTCTTACATTGACATGAAAAAAGTTAATATTTGTCAGCATTCAGAATTTGCAAGCCATTAAGGGTTTCAGGGAAATGAGTTCTATTTACCATGTGCTAGTGTGGTCATTCTGTATTGCCATGAAAATAGTCATAGCAGATTTTGGAACAAAAAATGTTTTTCCAAGATACACTATATAAACACACAAATTTTTTGTAGTTAAATTGTTTAACTATCATTCAAATTATTTTAATATAATTCTTTACTGCAAATGTTCCTCACTTAAATTGTTGCTGTCTTCTTCTGGCAATTGGTAAATCTGTTAACTCCGTTTTTTCTGTGATTTACCTAGTCCTTATCCCTACAAATGAAAATACAAAGCTAAAAAGGTATTAACTGTCCTTGTTACTGCTGTTCAGCCTGTAGACACTAAGGTGAAGATAAAAGCCTTTAAAACAATTCAGGACTTAAAATTTCTGTGTCTGTGCTGTTAGAATTTAAAATGAATTAGCAGCTGCATCGATGTTTTTTAGGTTAATTTCTGTTTATATCCACTGGTTCTACCAAAGTGGAATTACAGATTGCCTTGGGTTGGAAGGGGCCTTAAAGGTCATCCAACTCCAACTGTCTACCATGGGCAGGAACACCTTCCATTAGACCAAGATGCTCAAAGCCCCATCCAAACTGGCCTTGGACACTTCCAGGGATGGGACATCCACAACTTCTCTGGGCAGCCTGTGCCAGTGTCTCAACACCCTCCCAATAAAGGATTTCCTTCTAATATCTAATCTAAACCTGCCCTCTTTCTATGTAAATCTTTATCTACCCTCTTACAGTTTAAGTAAGAGAAGAAGAACGTTGCATGCACATGCTGTATATCATTCACTCTCCTAAATTCAGAAAAATCAGAAAACTAATTAGAAAACTCATTAAAATGTTGACTTGAATCTAAGAAAATCTAGAAATTGAAATGTTCACATATATTTGCAAGAAATTTATTTTTCCCTAACACTATATAATAATTATGATTCTCTTAATGGTCTTCATTCTAATGATTGAAAGTTTTATTAAAAGAGGAAAATTTTAAGAAGTTGCTCGCCCAGTCTGTCTTCAATGTATAGATGTGGAGTTTCTCTCCACATATGCAGTTTGGGGAAAATCACAGTTTAATCTCAGTATGGGTGCATAAATTCAATTTCACAGCTAACTCCTGGAGGGAAAGAGGGTAGGTTGGAAAAGTGGATGATCATGAATCAGAAAAGACAATTTAAGTGGCTTCACCATGTTGTCTCAAAGGCTGCCAGGGTATATTGAAATGTTACAGTTATGCCAACAGTGACCAACCTCATAAGTTGTTAAACTGCCTTAGAAAAAGTATTTTGAATTTTGAAATGCTTCTATTTCAAATATATTTTACAACTTCTGTGTGGTTTTAGTGGTATTTTTTTCATTAGTGCTTTTTTCAACAAGTAGAATCAACTAGAACTAAGTGGAATTATATAAACCAAAGATAAAAATCTGAACAAGCTTTTTGTTTTAGAAAAATCTGTTTCTTTATTACTGTATCTAATATAGCTCTTTCAAATGTCAAAGTAATATTCTTGTATTTTGTCTGCTAATAATTATCTGGCATCTTAATTTAAAAAAGACTGATGAACTGTTAGTAAATTAAATTGTGGTATTCTTTTTCTTTTATTTTTCTGGAGAAGGACCACTGCTTTTGCCAAACAAGAGAAACAATCACGTAATTTGATTGACTGCCACATGTTAACCATGCTGAGCACTAGAACTGTGTAACATTCAATAACTATTAGATCAACAAAATGTGACTTTCTCTAAAGGTGTGACTAGTCTGGATAAGCATGGAAGGATAAGATCGATATTTTAGACACAACATGGATTTCTGAAGTTGCTGTTTACAAAAACTGTTACAGTCTTCTTGGCATTATTTGCCTGTTCCCACTGTCCCTGATATCAACCTAACACAATAACTGAGTAGGAGAGGGATTATAATCTTGGCAGGAAAAAAGATACTCTATTAGGACCACACAGTGAAAAAATTCAGATTATCTAAAGCAATCAGATTTCCATAGAAATGGTTGTTGGATATTGGATTGCTACTTTAAAAGGGACAACTAAGGGTCGGGGGGGGTGATGGAGGGGAGGGCTGAATGTAGATTTATAACCATTAAGAAAGAAACTGTGAGGTAGTTGCAGTGATAGTAATAGACAAAGAAAGGAAATTAATAAGTGGATATGTAAGGCAAAAGTTGTTCTTTCCAAAAGCTAGGCCCAACTTGGTGGAAATTGATGGAAATCTTTACACAGTGGAGCATTCTACATCCTGTAATAGTGGCTGTTGAAATGCATCTGCTGGGATTTTCTTAGGTCCTTTGCTGCCAAATTCTCCCTCCCCAAAACCAAAGCCTATTTCTTTCCTAGCTCCTAATTTTGCTGGAAGATGAATTGTCACAACAGGGCTCTTGCCAGTAGAACCTTTCAGCCCAGGGATGAGCTTGCAGTGTGTTCTGTTGATGTGGTTTAGCAGGTCTATTGAGAGGCCAGACCCCATCTAGGTGAAAGCCTGGCAATGCCTGCTGTCCATTCCTACTTCATGTATAACTGTGAGTATAACATTTTGGTTCAGCCCAGAAAAGCCACTTACTTCTCAGACAAATCCTCTCAGTTCCATATGCTCCCTTGTATGTTCTTCCATGGTGTTTGAAGCAGGATTCTCTTTCTCCAGGTATTTTATAATTTACTTTGCATCATCTTTGAATGAGATGGGTAGGAATTGTGTTTCAGTCACTTTAACACTGCCAAGAGGACAATGTATGCAGTGAGGTCTCCTGATGTGGCATGGAGGCTGCGTGACCATGGTAGCCTTGAGTCAAGGGAGAGGCCATTCAGCTCCACATGGGGTTAGTTTGACTGGCAATGACTAGCGACAAGACTAGGAGTGATTGCTGGTATGAGAAGTAGCTACTTAATGATATATATCTGTCTCCCTTAATTGAACTGCGATGTATTTAGCAATGAATCTAAAGGGCATAGAAAAACTTAGTTTGGGACATGAAAAAAAAAATTGTATACACATTTCAACACCAGTGACTCCAGTAATCATTTGTGGTTTCTGTATATGTTGCTAAAAGCCATGTACATGCTCTGTAAGCTATCAGAACTTCCAGTTGCTACTTCCAGGCATATGCACTGATATTTTGCTTGGTAGTAGGCAAGTTATTTAAGTTTTGCACTGCTGTTAATCTGCTTTAGTAATCCTTGGGATTGAAATTATCTTTTGCTAAGTGCATGCACTTTGCCTTGTAAAAGTTGTTGAGTCCCAGTTATTAGATTGCTGGATGACAGCTAAAAATCTATATATTGTTGGAAAGCATCCACTTGAAGAGTAAGGTAGTGTTGTAGTCTGGTCCAGTGGAACTGATGGAGGATGTTGAATGCAATGAAAACATTTCTCCTCATCCTCTGTGCCTTATTTTTGTTTTTAAATGTAGCACATTTTGATCATGGCATCACTGAGCATTCCAGTGTTGCCATTGCTCTTTTGGACTTCTCTTCATAAGAGTGTCAAAGAGAGTCTCATCTTCTCCTAAAACTTTGCCCTGCTAAGAGATGTGGTGATTCTGTGGTATTTTGAATTGTAATGTTAGGTTTGGGGGGGAAAAAAAGTGTGTTTGTATTTCAATGGGTTTATTCTATATGGTTTTTATTACAGCCTTTTGGGAAGTTTTTGTGCTCAACTGACAATGTAACTTATCAATTACTGTTATGGAAGAACCACAAGAACTGTATTCATTCACATTTGGCTTAAGTACATGTTAGCTTTGCCCAGACCACTAAACCTGCCAAAGCCCAAATTATAAGTCTTGGTAAAGACTGTACTGGTGAGGAGAAAAAAAAGCTATTTGTGCAGAAAACCCAGAGTTTTGCCTGTAGTCAGTATAATAGAATATTGTAATGTGTTTTATTCTACTTTATTTCTGATATGTTGACAGGTTTTAGTTTCTCTGATTTTCATCAGCAAAGTCAATTTAATTGGTTATTCTTCCTGTCCCTAAAAGGCATATGGGGAAATTATGCTTCCTTTCCTTGGAGAGTGGCATGATGGCTTGGCTGCCATTTGTATTCTCCTGCTTGTGTGTTTCCAGTCCCAAATGACTACAGAATCCTTTGGGTGATTGCTGCTGGGAATGGGTTTCAGGGAGGAGTTCCCAGGACTGGATTTACACTAAATAAACAGAGGCCAGAGGGGAAAACTGTGTTTCATTAAGAACTCTGGTTTAGGTTAAAGGGATAAAAATAGCTGCAGGACATCTCAAATTAGTTTAAAAATTAGAAAAGTGAAGGAACCCAATCTAGAGTATTTCTTTTAAGTACCCACATATCTTTTTAGAGTTCTCTGCCTCACTGTCTTCTGCTCAGTGTACCTAGGTCTATAATCCAAAGGGACAGCTGAAAAGATTCAGCTGTCAAAGTTTCAGATTCTGTAAACACAGACTTTTTTAGTCAGTGCTGTCAGTGTTCACGTGTTTGTCTTCTTTGTTCTGCCAAAATATATTCCTGAAAGTTTTCGTTTTCTATTCTGGTTTTAGGCAAGATGCAAGAAATGGAAGTAAAGTACCAGAAAACCTTCTGCATATTGGAGAGAAAATTACTGCATCTTCCATTAAAATTCCCTTAGTTATTCATAAAAATGTTCTGTAGTAGACTAGTGTGTGTGTGTGTGTTGTATGCTTTGTCTAAGGAAAACATAATTACTTGCCTTCTGCTCTTACCAGAATATTTTGGACATGCATTTTTCAGTGTTGCACATTGGCAGACTTACAGTGACTGCACTTTCTGCAAATACTCTGTATTAAGAAGATATCCTTTATGTTTAACATTGCAGATCCAGAATGCTAATGATGTGCTAATAGCACCGCTGGAGAAGTTTCGAAAAGAGCAAATAGGAGCAGCAAAAGTAAGTGGCTGGAGTTGTTTTTAGTTTCGTGTTTATTTGAGTTTATCAATGTATTTTGAAGGCTGGACTAAAAACAAGCATTTTGTATTCAAACAGACTTGATACCATCCTCATTAATATGTTAGTAAATTATACTAATTCTTTGCTTCAGAGGAGAAGACGATTTAGAAATGGAGCTTAAAGACTGATAATATGCATAGAAGACAGCTCTTGCTACTGTTGCACATTCCTACCATCTGGCATTGTGTTCATCTTCTGATGTCTGCATTTACATTGTGCTGCATCTTGGGTTAACCCAGAACCACAGGGAGGATTCAAACAGCTGCTATGAGTCCCTCAAGCAGACATTGTATAAAGACAGAAGACAGTTTCAGCACGATCTCTGCCTCTGCTGTCCCGCTCCTCTTTACATGGCTTGTGCAGTGCAATGGTTCATGTTCATTTTGCCAGAGTATTCATCTTAATATTCTTCAGGGATTTTCCCATGGTGGAAGTGCTCCAGTTGGTAATTTCATCTGGTTCTTTGGTGTTAAATGTTGTATCTGTGTGAGAGAGACAATGCAGGTTGTCTATACCAGGGTTCATTAGTCAGCTCAGGAAATTAGCTATACTGGGGAAAAGTATGTTGGAATTAACTGTTGGTCTAGAAGAGCTGTTTCCAGTGTGACCCTGAATTTTTGAGTGGCTGTCAATGTCTGCTTTCATTACAGTCTCTGGGCTATGTGTGGAGGCTGTGGTAGTCAATTAGAGGTTATGGTGCTTCTGTCTCTATAAATACACTAGTTCTGAAGCATTTTGCATCTTATATTAGTGCTCATAAAAATTTCTGGGAAACGTTCCATTTGTAGGTTAAATGAGTACAAAAAAAAGCTCTCTGGTGTTGCAGGTGAGGTTGTGCTTGTGCTGTACTCAAAGAAACCCAGAAGAATAACAGAGCTATTGGAAAGAGACACCAAAGGTTTATACTTCTTGCACTGTTGTTGTGAATGTGTAGCAAACACGTGGGGCTGCTTCCGCACAGGAACTAAGTAGATGTTTGTGAAGAATGTGTACTGCGAACTTGAGGTCAGATTTGTCTGAAGTGGGTGTTCTTTACCCTTTCACTTGATATGTTTTTGTGTACAACTACATTCTTCTCTTGTCCCACCCCTATGCTGCTCTGAGATGCAGGACTGGGAGTTTATTTACCATGCTGCTTGAATCAGAATTTAATCCCAGCACAAAATTATTTTTAGTTTTCAGTAGGTTTTAGTAGTGTCATCCAGTTCTTTGTGTATGTTTCATTTCCTATTCCCATAGTTTAAGGGATATCTTTCTTCAGAGCACCCTATTTGAAAGCTCCACCCACCATACTACTGACTGTCTTGCTGCATGACAGAGACAATCCATAGGTGGTTCACAGGGCTCTCCGCAGAACTCTCTACAACACTCAGGTTTCCTTTGAATAAATATATCACTCAGTAGATGTCAACACATGCATAATGATCTAATTGAAGATGACTCCTTTGTTTTTTATATCATCAAGAATATTAAAGGCAGGGCACTACAGGACAGGTTGAGTTCTCTCTGTTTGGTGTATCACAATGGCTGGTTTCTTTTCCATATCTCTTCCATGTAAAATATGGGCATCTGCTCCTCTTAGAGTTGTTTTGACTTGTCTGTGGTCATACTACACTGTACAGAATGAGTTCAGGAAGGAGCCTGGCTCAGCTAACTCTTATTCCAGCATCTTATGCACTTTATTATGCAGTGCTGTGTGTTTTGGAGAGTCCAGGATACTTGGCTTGACACATAGATACCCTAAAGAGAGCTCTCCCAGGTCATTGTTTTATAAAATGTCAAACAAACATATTTTCTAGCACTGCACATGGTGTTCAACTGCCAAACTCAGAAATGAGAGATTCAGAAAGCCGTCATAACCAAGTGTGATACATTTGCCTTTGAATTGATTTTTATCAGTGGAAGCAATTACAGTTGGCCTTTAACTAAATGGTATCAACGCAAACAAGTCAGAGCTTAATTACATTCAGTATTGTTTTTCTAGTAATTACAAAATAGCAATGTATGATCTAGGAATAATGAGACCCATATGAAGCAGAGTAGAAATTTGGGCTTTGTGAAACCCATTATTGGTAAAGTGGAAAACATAGTCAGATTGCTTACCCTACTTCTGTTCACTGGGATCAGCACTTAAGCATTTATGAGATCTTATAAATATTGAATGAGTTGAACTTGCTGGTTGTTTATCTGCAGTTAAGAAAGGTTTGCACAGAGATTTGGCTCTTTGAGCTCCTCTGGGGTGATCTGTGCTGATAGTCAAACAGAAGATATAGATATTTCTTGTTGTTTGGATTTTAGCAGCAAGTTTTACAGAACACTGAGAATGTCACTTTTTATTTGTGGTGTTTTCTAGACACATCAGCTGAGTGGACCTTACCAGGTCCACAGCAGGTGTGAGCTGTTTTTTTCCCTGTAGCATTAGTCTAAAACAGTGTGTAGAACAGTATTCGTATCAAATCCAAACTTGCTTCTGTTTCTCCATCACCCCTCTCCTGCCCAAAACCCCAAAACATTTCTGTATACGAGTTGTTCTCTGACGAGAAACAGGAGATGTCCCAGCTGACTGGATGCTGGTGAAAGTTGTCCCAGTTTTCAAGAAGTGCAAGAAGGAGGACCCTAGAAAACACAGGCCTGTTAGTCTGACTTCAGTACCTAGTACAGTTATGGAGAAAATTATTCTGGGAGGTATTGAAAACACCTGAAAGGCTGTGCAGCATTAGTGACAGCCAGCATGGCTTCATGAGAGGAAAGCCCTGCTTGTCAAACCTGATTTCCTTTAATGACAACCTAACCTACCTAGCTGATCAAGGGAAGCCAGCTTATGTGATTTCCATGCTGTCACAGGATCCTTCTGGACAAAATGTCCAACATTCAGCTGAATAAATACATTATGCTGTGGGGTGAGAATTGGGTCAGCACAAAGGGTTTTAATGAGTGGGATGGCATCAGGCTGGTGACCTGTCACTAGTGGGGTTCCACAGGGTTCCATCCTCCACCCTGTGCTCGTCGAAATCTTTATAAATGACTTGAACACAGGGCTGGAGGGGATACTAGGCAAGTTTGCAGATGATGCAAAACTGGGAGCAGCTGTTGACTCCCTCAAAGACAGGGAGGCCCTCCAGACCAACCTTTACAGATTAGAGGACTGTGCAAACACCAAACAGATGAAATTCAACAGGGGAGAGTGCTGGATTCTGCACCTGGGATGGTTCAACCCTGGATGTATGGACAGACTGGGGAATGAGATGCTGCAGAGCAGTGCTGCAGAGAGGGACTTGGGGGTCTTGATAGAGGACAAGCTGAACATGAACCCAGTGCTGGGGGCAGTTCTGGGTGCCACAGGAAGCTATGAGAGAGCATCCAAAGAGGGGCTATGAATGTGGTGAAGGGTCTGGAAAGGAAGCCATACAAAGAGACACTGAAATTGCCTGCTCTGTTCAGCCTGGAGAAGAGGAAACAGGGAAAACTTCATCACAGTCTGCAGCTTCCTCATTAGGGCAAGCATAGGGGCAGGCAGTGATCTTTTCTCTGTAGTGACCAATGACAGGACCCAAGGGAATGGTCTGAAGGTGAATCAGGTGAGTGGCTTTTTAAAAAAGGTTTCACTAGAGGGTGGTTGAGCACTGGAACAGGCTCCCCAGGGAAATGGTCACAGCACCAGCCTGTCTGAGATCAAGAAGCATTTGGACAATGCCCTTGGGCACATGGTGTGACTCTTGGGGATGGTCTTGCACAGGGCCAGGAGTTAGACTTGATGATCCTTTTGGATCCCTTCCAGCATAGCATATTTTGTGATTTTGTGATTCTGTGGATGGTGCAAACTCCACAGCATATTCTGTGATTTTGTGATTCTTTGGATGGTGCAAACTCCGCAGGATAGCTGATAGTAATGTCACATTGTTAAGCTGTGTTTCCAAATTTTGTGGAAGAAAAATATTATTAGACAGTTGCGTTACCAATATACAAACCAGGAAATTATATTAGGTACTCCTGTCAGATTTTGCTGGGAGCAAAGATTATGTGAGAGAGCACTTAAAAGTGATTTCTGGGCTTTTTTTGCCTTTTTTTAAATAAAACAACAGTTAAAATTCAGTTGCAGGTAAATACAAGCAAATCCCACCCTCCCAAGGGAAAAAAAGGGAAAATGTTATAAATTATGAGAATCACCATGTTATTTTAGCAATAAACAAGTTCACAAGATTTTTTGCTACCATGATGAATATCATATAGATGTTTTTAATACAGAGAATGAGAATATTTAATTTTTTCTTCAAAAGTATAATGAGTTTAGGCAAAAATATGGTCACAGAAATCAAAAAGAATATGGAGGATAAAATATATCCTGTTGATGTTACAAATCTATATTTTAAATACAAGGACCGTATAAACCCAGAGTGCAAAGTTCAAGTGTTTTTGGAACATCACAAGAATAACATTAAAGACCAATTCTTAACATGCACTTCAAAAACCTGAAGGTACCCAACAAATTTGAGAAACATTCCCCATAAAACATTAGTGTTTGTAATATAACCAGCAATATACAAATCTACATCACTTGCTCTTCTTGATTTATACTACTTGCTCTTCTGTTTTTATTGCACATATTTCAGTTATTCCTTTTCTGTACACACTCAGCTTAAATAAAGCTGAGTTCTCTCCAGAGACTACACAAACCTAGCTTTGCATTGGACAGCCTGTTGATTTACTCCATCTGAGTTTAAAAAAAATGACCTCTCCAATTATTGTAGCAAATCGAGCAGAAGCCGGGTGAGGTAACTGGGAAAGGATTCCAGGCACGAAGCCTTTTGCCTTATTTGGTCAATGTGGTTTGTGAGGCCCCAGCTGGTAACTCTGGTGAGCTCATTGTGTGATGTGTTATGGACAATAAAGCCAAACCTTCCTCTTTCTTTGTATCCATTGAGTACAGTATTTAGCAATAT